CCAACATCGAAAGAGGCCCGGAAGGTGCTTGGGCCGAGTCCGGGAGCCGGCCCAGGCCCAACCATAGGAGATTCGGCTCGATGCCGTCAAGGAGCCCAGCGAGAGTCCGGGCCGAGTCATGGAGTCGACCAGGGCCCAAGCCTAGAAAAAAGAACTGGTTTAAAGAGCCGTTGAGAGCATTGAAGGGCCTCATTTAAGGGACCCGGCCCAGGAACTGTTAGGAGCACTAAAGGCAGGATTCGGTCGGACTGTTACAAATCTGTAAGAGCCGTTGGCCGGCCTGGTAACGGCACCCAACGGCTCGGTAAATGTAATTAGCTTTGAAGTCGACCATTAATAGCCTTCAAGTCGATAGGAGGGGAGCCTGCTATATAAAGGCTCCTCCACCCGTGTAAAATTAGACAAGTTCATCCCCAGAAGAGAGAGAGACATACTTGAAGTTATTATGAATACTTTCACTTTTTTGCAATCCTTTGTGAAAGGTGAATCCACCAACTAAGGTTGTGTTGGATCTCCCTGGGGCCGAAAACCCTATATATATATATATATATATATATATATAACAAAAAATCACACCTTCAATCTATATTTAACAAAACGTGTGCGTAGACCTTTTATTTCGGTTTGTGACAATGATTTTGTAATGACATTGAAAAAATTCAAAGTGAATTGTAAGTTTGCGTATGAAGTGTAGCAAATGCTATTTAGTTCTCCATTTTTTTTGCGTTTGACTCTATTACAAATATACTATTTGTTTAAGTATGGCCAAAAATTTTGATTGGATAAAGGGATTTGATTTGTTTTATAGTGACACGCTAAACATGAATACACCCTTTCCCTTTGCTACATTCTTAATTACGTATTTACGTGTAGTTATATGTATGTGTGCATTTGTATCTCACCACTATAAATTTAAAGCAGTGCAAATATATATATAAATTAGTTGTAAATCCACGTATATGACTCTCTCTCTCTCTCTCTCTCTCTCTCTCTCTCTCTCTCTCTCTATATATATATATATATATATATATATATATATATATATATATATATATATATTGTGTGTGTGTGTGTGCTAAATTTCAATTTATTGTATAGATTTCTTCTACTTTTGGTCTCACTATTATTAGGTCATCATTTCATGTTAGGTTCCCAAGTATTAGTTTTGCACAAATTTGGTGCACAATATATATATTTTTTTTTAAATGTCACATTTAATTTTCTAATAACATTTCCACTAGAAAACAACTAAAAAAATGTCATATTTTAATTCCAGAAAATTATAATTTATGCCATTGACAAATATGTTAATTATCAATGTCACCCCTAAATTATATATTAGTGGTATAAATGTTGCCTCTCAATTTTCAAAACGTGATGTATATTGTCCCTCCTCTAATAGGAAGAAGGAGAAACATTGTTGTCGACGGAAGGAGATCAAACGAAGAAAGAAAAATGAATGAAAAAAAAAAGGTGTGGTCTTCGAATAGGGAAAACGGTGGGTAGCAACATTTACACCAATAATAATTCAGGGGAGGTGCAATATATGTCACGTTTGAAAATTGAAGGGAAACATATACACCACTAATAATTCACGGGTGATATTGATAATTGGCATATTTGTGAGGGACAAAAATTACAATTTTTTCCTTTTAATTTAGAACCAGACCACCTTGAATACTTTGACGCTCCTGAGACCATCTCCAACCCTCGGCACCAGATTCTACACCAAAATGAATATTCCCAACATATTCTTACACCAAATTTTTTTCATCTCCAACCTATTACACCAAATTCTGCAGCAAATTTTATTCCTACACTAATATAATATATATTCTCATAAATTAAATGTTTATATTTATATTTTTATTATTTTAATATAACATACAGTTGTAATTTAATAAATTAAATTTTAATTATGTTTTATGTAATTATATTTTTCATTAAATTATATTTAATATTAGTCTTGATAATATTTTTCAAAGAATATAATTTTATTTTAATAATATATAATTTCTGTTTAAATATTTAACGAAATATGTAAATATATTAAAAAAAAAAAACGTATACAATATTTTGATAATTTGGGAGGAAATGAGGCTGAGAGATTATTGAATTTAAGTATGTTTAAAGTAATTTTAAATGTTATACTGTAATGGTCAATGGTATAGCAGGGGCGCGTAAAACCAACCAGGGGACTCAGGCAGGGAGACCCTCTCTCTCCGTATCTATTTATTATTTGTGCAGAGGCTCTCTGGATGATATTACAGTACGAACAGTTGGCAGGCTCAATACATGGATGCAGAGTTGCAAGGGGGGCGCCGCCTGTATCACACCTATTTTTTACGGATGATAGTCTCCTATTTTTTAAAGCAAATATCCAGGAGGCAGGAGTTATAAGGTAGTGCCTTGCATGGTATGAGAAATTGTCAAGCCAGGTGGTGAATTATAATAAATCTAATATATGTTTTAGCAGAAATACCCAGGAGGCTGACAGGGCACAGGTAGCGGATTGTCTGGGAGTGGTGCCAGCACCCAATTTTGGGAAATATTTGGGCCTACCTTCCTTTGTAGGGAGAAATAAGAGAGCTGTTTTTTCATATGTGGAGGAGAAGATCAGGCAACGAATTGGTTCGTGGAGTAAAAAGTTACTTTCTCAGGCTGGTAAGGAAGTATTGTTGAAAAGTGTAGCGCAATCTATGCCTACCTATTCGATGAGTGTTTTTTTGTTACCTGAGACAGTTTGTCAGTCAATTGAGCGAACTATGAATAAGTATTGGTGGGGGAATGGAAGAGAAAGGGGAATACATTGGAAGGCATGGGACAGGTTGTGCATACCAAAGAAGTATGGTGGTATGGGTTTTAAAGAGCTAAGGGCTTTTAATCTAGCTATGCTGGGTAAACAGGCATGGCGTTTTTTAACGGACCTAGGAACACTCGTAGCTAAAATCTATAAGGCAAGGTATTATCCCACGATCAGTTTTACAGATGCAACTATTGGTAATTGCCCAAGTTACTGTTGGAGAAGTATAATGGCAGCCCATGCAATGGTAGTCTCAGGGGTGCGTAGGAGAATTGGGAATGGACAGACAACTTTAATATGGGGACATCCGTGGTTACGAGATAATCCTAGCCCATTGATTCAAACAGAAATGCCAGAGCAATTGAGAGAGGCACGGGTTGCAGGATTAATTGATTTACAGACTCATACTTGGGATCCACATATTTTATCTGACTTGTTTATTCCTGAGGATGTGGAGCGAATAAATATGATCCCTATTAGTCCTGATTACGAGGACTCGTGGTATTGGATGAGTGACCCAAAGGGGACATATACAGTAAAGAATGCTTATAGGCGTATTGTGGGTGACTATGAAAATAATCCCGCGAGTTTTGATAAATGGATTACAATGTGGAAAGTAAAAGTCCCCCAAAAATGGAAAACTTTCTTGTGGAGAGCCATATGTGACATTTTGCCAACAACCATTAACTTGATATTTAAAAGGGTGGAGGTGGACCCAACATGCCCAATGTGTGGTTTAGATCATGAAGATGTGTTACATGCTTTAGTGCTCTGTGAATATTCTAGACTTGTTTGGAATATAACACAATTGCCTATCACTAATATTGTTGCAGACTCTTTTACAACATGGCTAAAAGGGGCTATGGCGGTCTTGACGGAGGAGCAGACCCGGTTGATGGTAGCAATATTATATTATATTTGGAGAGCCCGGAATTCAGCTGTCTGGAAGGGATCAATGACGCGGCCTGCCCAATTAGCCAGAGCAGCAACCGTAGCACTGCAGGCATACGGCGCTGCCCATGCTCGCCGAACCGAGCCGGCAGCGGTATCGGAGCATTTAACAGAACCAGGGGAGGGCGGTCTACGGTGTTATGTGGACGCGGGTTTCCGGCACGACACAGGCGAGGCTACATACGACATGGTAATAATAGCGCCGGATGGCTCTTTTGTGGCAGCAAGGAATGGCAAGTTACCGATTTGTTTTTCACCACTTATGGCGGAGGCCCAGGCATACAAGGAGGCACTGTCCTGGCTACTTGAACGGAACAACACATCAGTAAGTTTTCTCAGGATTGCATGGAATTGACAACGATTATCCGGCACCATCACACGCCGATCCATTCGTACGTTGGGGTCACAATTGACCAGTGCAGAACGCTTATGTCTTTATTTAATCGTATTACTTTGGATTACATCTCTAGACAGGTTAATTTACATGCGCATACTTTAGCTTCGTTAGCATTTACACAGGATCAAGCTATGTACTGGGATGTTATCCCACCTGACGCTATTTCGGTTTTGATTCATTAATACAATCGCAAGATTGACCTTCAAAAAAAAAGTAATTTTAAATGTAAATTGCTTTAATTTTGTTATAATTAAGTTTTATGTATTTTTATTTTTAATTAATTCATGTTCAATATTAGACATGTTTTATTCGTCTTGATAATAAGATCTTTCAAATGATAAAATTTATTTTTAATAATATAAAATTTATATTTAACAATTTAATAAAATATACAAATTAAATACATTAAAACTAAACCAATGACATAAGAGGAATTACAAATAAAAAGTAAGGGGGAATGTAAAATATATTGTTAACATACAAATAAGAAGTAAGGGGGAATTACCAAATATGGCACTGCACTGTTCACCAAGCGCAAAATAAAAAATGGCGATTTGCCGTGTTGATTGGAGCCTCTTCTCACCATTTTTTTGCCATTTTGATGTTTAATTTGGCGCCTTCATTGGAGATGCTATGAGCATAAAACGCAAGTTAAACACAAATTTTTGAACTAGAAATGTAAAATATATTGTTAACATACAATTATTTTTTATCAAAATTTTTATTTGAAGTATCAAATATAACAAAAATAATACTTGAAATAAAAATAAAAATGACTACATGACTTAGATTAAAGGTGAAATTTAAATATTTCTTATTATACACTGTCTTATTCCAAATAAAAATCACATACAAAGATTTATTAGTACATAACTAACAGAATGAAATTAATTTTAACATTTATTGTGGAGCTAAGGAGAGACATATATAGGCTAAGTAACGTAGTTTCATTTCCTCCAAGTCGGGAACGTAGGGATGCTTTGTTCATTCCTAAAGAAGTTATCTGGATCAATCTTGCTCTTTATCTTCACCAACCTATTGTAATTCTCCTTGAAATACTTCAACCCATATGTTTTCCCTTCAAAGTAGCTTCTTCGCGAACCCTTGTTGTGATTTATCCCCAAATCCAAGTCTCTGTAGTTCAAGAACGCTTTCCTAGGATTCTTCGAAACAAATGGAGTCATATATTCGTAAAGCTGTCTTGTTATTTCTAAGTAGTGTTGTGATGCCTCGTACCCATCCTCGTTCCAGTTGGTTGCGTATTGAATCTTGGCGATGTTTCCAGCACGGTGGGGGAAGGGTTTTGCGGCGGAGGGAATCTCCGCCATTCTCCCGCCGTAGGGGTTGAATGTGAGCATGGGTGTTTCAAGCTCCACCATTTTCTTGAAGATGAACTCTATGCCGTTTCTGGGCATTGGGGTTTGGAGATAATCTGATTTTCTCTTCAAGTGGACTAGGACTTGTGGAACCCTAGAGAGCAATTCTTCCACGGGGGTTCCGGATGGGAAACCGGTGTAGAAGAGTACGGATTCAATCCATCTCATTTCTGTGCAGTCACTCTGGGTTAGCCCTAGCTCTGGGAAGCTTTCATTCATGGTCGAGAGGAGGGTTTTGGAGTCTCCGAGGAATAGGGCGTTGAAGGTGGCACGTATGGTTTTTTGTCCCGGCCGTGTGGTGCTATTCACGACGTCGAGTGTTAGCCGGATGAAGAGGTTGGGGTCTAACTTGTGGGCAACGCGCTGGTGGCGGTAAACGATGTTGGTAGCGTTTTGGTCGTAGGTTCTTCTGACACTGAAAACCGTCACCTTAGGTGGGACCCGTACTAGGTTTATTTTGTAAGATAAGACAACTCCGAAGCTAGAGGCGCCGCCTCCCGTGATCGCCCAGAACAAGTCCTCCCCCATAGATTTGCGGTCGAGTAGACGACCGTTTACGTCAATCAACTTGGCGTCGATGACATTATCCACGGTGAGGCCGTATTTTCTCATCATGGTTCCATATCCAGCACCACTAATATGGCCTCCCACTCCCACAGTCGGACACACACCCGCAGGGAACCCATGCACGTTGCTCTTATTGGCAATTCCATAGTAAACTTCCCCTAAGGTAGCTCCAGCTTCAACCCATGCAGTCTCGTCCTCAATGCTAACATTGACTGACCTAAAGTTAAACATGTCGAGTATGAAGAACGGCATGTCAGAGACATACGATACACCCTCGTAGTCATGACCGCCACTTCGGGCTTTCATTTGGAGGCCATGCTCCTTGGCACAAAGTATGGATGCTTGGATGTGGGACAAATGTGTAGCAGTCACAATGAAAAGTGGTTTTTTTGTATACGATTCATTGAATCTCAAATTCCGAATGTATTCTTGTAAAACCGAAGAAAATGAACCGTTGTTGGGGGTGTATATAACCGGGGAGATTGAATGAGAGGGGTCTGAACGATCGTTAAGGCATTCAAGAACGGTAGTAGCACAAGAACACAAAGGTGCCCAAGCACCAATGGATAAAAGGAAAATGGTTAACAAAAAAGCAACTCTCATACTTTGGGTGTTGATTGAATTGATCTTTCGTCAAAAATCAATGTTTGAAAGAGTTGAAAATTTGTGTTATGTATGATCCAAAGGAGGATAGGTTGAGGTTTATATAGAGAAATATTTGGCTTCAATTCATGCATGCAAATATTCAATGAAGAAATTTAGGGTTGAATGGATAACATATGATTAATTGGCCTCCATTTGACTTAGAAGTTTCCATAATGCATATGGTTAACCAAATTGTTTTCTCTTTGAATTTCCATCTCTGTTATCTTCATCAACTCATGCTAAGTCATGCTTTCCTGTATTTATGTATTTGCGTGTGTATACAGTGAGAAAGATATCAGAAACGTTTTAATATGAAATATCCCAAATTCAAGTTCATATTATAACATATTACAACCTTTTCCTCAAAAAACAAGTGTTCAAGAATTATGCATAATTTTGCACATTGGTATATTTAATGTTTTGACCATGTTAGAAATAAGGGTCCTCATTTTGTTTTTTAAATGGTATACAGTTAAGTTACATGCATACTAAAACTACAATATAATTTGGCAATGACAATTATTATTATTAGAATTATATTACCGTCAAATAATAACAATAACAATAACAATAACAATAACAATAACATAGCACGATCGCTCGAAGAAATCAAACCTTTATTTCGGTCCAACTCGATTCTAAGACAATAACAATAACAATAACAACAACAATAATAATAATAATAATAATAATAATAATAATTATTATTATTATTATTATTATTATAATAATAATAATAATAATAATAATAATAATAATAAGAGTTGAAAATTTCATGCTTTCAACCAAAGAAACTATTATGGCGGCTCAAATATTCAAAAAGTCCTAAATATGAAGATTATTTTAATAAATTACAATACTATTTCGTCTAAAAATGAAATACGGTTTTGGTTGAAGGACAAATCAGCAACTGTTTTATGTTGAAAGTCATTATATATATATATATATATATATATATATATATATATATATATATATATATATATATATATATATATATATATATATATATCGGTTTTTTTTAGGGAAGTCATTTCCCGTTTGCAACAGTGGAGCATCTAATCACCCGTCGTCGCCACCACCACCACCCACGACCATCACCACCACCATCATTGTATATTTTTAAATATATAAAATTAGAAATAATTATGCTTATTTTCAAAAAAATGAATCAAACACACCAAGATAGTTTTATGGAAAGCAATCAAACACTGAGAATGAAAATATTTTTTAAAAAATGACTCATTTTCAGAAAACATGTTCCTGCTTTCCAAACACATCCTTAAATAGTTAATATCCATCTACTTATCACGAATTAATTTTAAAAAATGATAACTAAATAATCAATGAACTTCATTGTTAAGCGCGGGTGACACGATAGTGATGAATATGTGATAGTTCGATAAATGAAAATAAAACTTGACAAATATGATAAAATGGAAAGAGCAAGTAATTATTATAAATAGTTTGTAAAAAAAAATTATGTATTCTTAGAATAATATGTTACATACCAGGACTACGTGGTTTAATGGTACCCGAGTTGGACTTCCATTTGAAAGATTGTGAATTCGAGCCTCTAAACAGAAACTACATTGTAATAGAGCTATTAGCATTCAAAAAAAGAATAATATGTTACATTACTTATTTATCATTTATAATATAACACCCGATCAATATTTGTAATTATTAATTTTATTTTTAATAATTTATCATTCATTAGTTGTAAATTAATTGTTCCATCTAAAGTTTGAAATATCATGTTTAATTTTGTATTTTAATTCTTTAAAATACAACTTTGAAATTTATTTTTCAAATGTTATCCACATATGCGCTGTTTAAAAATTCCAAATTTAATTTGTGCGAATTTCGGAGGATTGAAGATTATCAAAAATTATGTCTGACCAGAAAGGGCCGTCACGTCGTCGCAATTCGACGCCGACTTTCTTTCCATCCACTTGTTATAGATTAGGGTTACAAGGTTCACCTTGTAAGATGGACTTTATTCTAAAATTGTATATTTTTAGTATTGAAATTATGGACATCTAAAATATAAATTATATTTTTAAGTTTTAAAAATTTACTAATACAATACAAAATCATCATAAATTGTGATTCTTTTATTTTAAAACAAATTATAAATTTTATAAAGTAAATTATGAACATTTACATGGTGGACCCAGGTCCCAGAATAATCTGCCAGTTCGATCTGCCTTTTCGAAACGCAATTTATAAGCCGTCATGTGAAGCCAATGGCGGCTACCATTTTGTGGCTGCCTTGTAGGCTTATTTCTATTCCTACTTGTTCACAATAATTACGAAATTTTCTTTGATCATTTTAATTTTGATTGTAACATCATTTTCAGATTATATATTGACTTTTAGTTTAACTAAATAAATATTATTCAAACTTATAAAACAACCTTATCAAATTTCGCATAACTATTAAAAATTTGTTTACAGAGAAAAGAAACATAATTACATGCTAAAATTACATCACATGAAAAATGTGTGTAAAACCGACTCATGAAGAAAGTTACCGTCGTGTCAACTTCTTCAGTTGACAATGGTAATGGTCGGCGCCTTCTTTGCGACAATAAGGTTGTGATTTTGTGTATTTATGATATTCTATTTTTACTGGTTATCTTTTTGACTTAACTGTTTGATTATATATCTTATTGCAAACTCTAAACTTGTTTGTTCGACCAATTAATGCAACAGCGATATGATTTAGCGCGGAATGAAAATCAAACAGAAAATAAAGAACACAAGAATTGTTTACCCAATTCGATACACCAGTATTTACGTCTAGGGGACCACCATCAGTGTGTCTATTCCACTATATCATCAGCAAGTCAAATAGATGGTAGAAGAATGCATTCTCACCTAATGTGTACCACACACGGTAAAAACTTACCCTATATGTAGAAGCTATAGAGGATTGTTGAGGCCGACGATCCGTGCAATCAGCAATCCAAGAAATCCCTTCTTTGGAGATCCACGTTATCGTTGTCTGTCTCATTGACTCACTCACCATTGTATCACAGTTGCATGGAATACGATCCAAGATACAACTTTGTAAACCTTTTCTTCTCAAGTGACTTCTTAAACTCAGATCACCTTATTGACTTGAGGAGATGATACATCAGAGTAATCTTTTTAAGGTATGGAGAGAGTTTCTTGTAATTCAACTATTGCTTCGTATTCTTTTGTTTTCTCGTCTCTTTTGTTTTGAGACCTCTCTCATATATATAGTACTCTGATTCTTGAAAAACATGTACGGAGTAATTCCTAAGATATTTCTAGTAGGAGAATTCTTGTCTTACCCTTTGAGGTATGTCAGATAGGTAAGGTCTTTCTTGTAAAATAACCTCAATCAACATAACTACTCTACTAGCTATGTAACACCCCAGATTTTCAAGACTTTTAAAACTTACATAATAAAGGTAGAATCTCATTAAATCTCAAAACACGATACAAGAGTACGGGGTGCTATGCCACACCTGAGCTGGAGAACTCAGGTGCACAGGCTAACTAACTAATGTCCTTAATAAAGGGAATGCATAACATGGCACGCAGGCCGAAAGGAAAACTATCTACTTCTACACTCCAGGGTTTTAGCGCGCTCCGGTGTCTACTCTTCTGTGCCTGAAAGCCAAATATATCTGTTCAGCGAGAGATGCTGGTAACCCACTCCAACGCGTTGAAATACAATACATATAGATATATACATAGATATACGAAAAAACCATTTCGAAGCATGAAGATATATCCTAAGAGACTCTAGCTTTCAAATCAGGGAATAGACTCGATAGATAGGGGTAATCACAACTAACAGGCATAACCAAGCGTAGACAATTCACAAGCATGCGATAGATAAGCACAACCAATAATCATAAGCAAGCATATACAGTTTACTAGCATGTATCCTATGGTCACGTTTTCATAATAGTCATAACATCAATCCTCCTGATTTCGTCACGTAACACACTTTGTTGGCGCCACAGGACCAATCGCATGCCCATACATGAGGGTCAGCGCATATAGCTCTGACACGGCCCCGCAGCACCCTGCCCCGTATCGCAACACGGAGGGGTCGATCGCAACCGACCGATGAACCGCAGCTCATCATAGTTTGATCGCAACCAAACAGTGGACCGCAGCCCAAGAGTATGTCATCTGACCGCAGCCAGGAAAATGAACCGCAGCTCATGTAGAACGTTTGATCGCAACCAAACGGTGGACCGCAGCCCTATATAATATTTATATACCTGACCGATCGCAACCGGCCTGGTTAATAGTCAGTATGGTTCTCAACCCATCCAACTGCCCGTATAACCAATTTGATCGCAACCAAATTGGGGTAACATGCACACATAACACATAGCAAGTACATGCAGCTCACATTAGCACATTGGGAAGGGGGAAGAAATCGTATAACGAAACCTATGCATGGTCATCCACATACTAGAATAATCCTAAGGGGTTCATACATCTCATACCTAGGCCAACGGGATACCGATTCACTAGCATGCAATATATATAAGACTTATTCAACCTACGAATGGTACCCGAACATCAAACTAGGCATAGGCACGATGGACGGAGTCCGTTGGGACGCCACGGGGGTCGGGGGAACATCAAACGGGGAAGCCGGAAACCCGAGGTAGGGTATTTTCCAGCGGGTAGCCGGTGGGTGAGGGTTCACCCGCCGGTGGCGTGACTCCGGGCAGCGGGTGCCCGGCGGGCAGCTGCCCGCCCGCCGGCTGCCCGCTGCCGGCGTTGCCCAAATAGGCCAGGGGTAGGTGGTGGGTCCCCTACCCCCACCTACCCCCCACTGACTCTTTTTCACCAAAAACGCCCCGGGAACCTTTGTGGAACCCGAAACCATGCTTAGACACTTTCAAACGCAATTGATAACACACGTAGACAATTAACGGATCAAAATCAAGAAACATACGACACCAATCCTATCATGCTTTTCTAAACATAATTAACACCCAAACATGTGAATTCCCACCCAATACACCAAGAATAATACCACACGA